CCCCGCCGCCGGCGCCCGGCCGGCCTGGGAGCGCTTCCTGGCCTGCTGCCACGGGCAGGGGCTGCTCTCCGCAGCGGAAGGTCACCCCGGAGCAGGCCCTTGCTGGACACAGGCAGCCACGTCTAGGCCGCTCTACCTCATCTTGGATGACAATTTTTATTATCGGAGCATGAGATACGAGGTGTACCAGCTGGCTCGCAAATGTAATTACTCTTTGTTCCTATGCGTAAGAACGTTTTCAGCTGTGTAGAAGATTCAGTTTTCTTTAACGGCCTTTATTTTAAACATTCCATCGGAACATTTGTTATTCTTAATTGCTAGGTTCCTGCAGTATAGTAAGCATCAACTTAACTTTACTATTGTATTAGTAGAAATAGTGCAGTCACTTAAAGCCTTTCTTATGTATATTGATCTCAGAAATTACTACTTGAGCAGTCTTGAAGGTAAAATGGTTTGTATTCTTCTTAGGTTTGTAGTCTTCTTAGGTTTGTATTCTTCTTAGGTTCAGAACTAGTGTAGAAGTTATTCACGTAAAACCTTTCTCGTGCACGTTGCTCTCAGAAATTTTTACTTGAACAGTTTAAAGGTAAAATTGTCTGTTTATGTTCTTTTAGATTCCTTGAGCTTCTGTCAGTTATTTTTAGAGTGTCCACTTGAATGCTGCTTGCAGAGAAATCGTCTAAGAAGTCATCCGTTACCTGACCAGACAATATGTTTAATGGCAAGAAAAATAGAAATGCCAGATCTCAAGAAAAACACTTGGGAACAGAACAGCCTCATTCTGAAAAGTTTTGATTGCACTTCAGAGGATAAGTATGCTACTGGATTAACGCTGGGGTTTTCACTAAGTACTGTTTTCATAAACGAGTGGGTAGAAGCTTTTTACTGTATCTAAACAGTATGTAAAAAATGTTCCGTATGGTGATTTTTGGAAGCCAGTCAGTTACGCACAATACATGCCAGTGGTTGGGAACTCGCAGCCATCATTCTGTGCAGAGTTAACCTAACTGCACTTCTAAACTGTTGTTAAAAATTTATGTAGATTATCTGAAACATTAAGACTGGAAATAATTGGCTGTAGTTTTAGTTGTAATTGGTTTTCATCTAACTTGCTGTATAAAGATTATTTCATTGATTGTCTCATAAATTTAACTGAAAACTCGTTTTTTTTCTGTGATGAGGTGTCATTACAAAATGAAAGAAAAATCTTCAGTGAAACTGTTTGATTAATGTGGTTTACTCTTGTATTTGTTTTCTTAGTGAGCAGATAATTAGTTTGCTGGCCACTGCTTTGGAAAATCCAGTGAAGCAGAACGAGGAAGATGCTGAGCAAAAGGTAGCGCTGCTTGTCTTCACAGTCACAGCTCCTTCAGCTGACGGTGAATGAGCGAGTTAGTAATTCCTGAACTGGATTCAGAACACCGTGATGATACGAACTGAGAAATAGCTAGTGCGTTTCTTGATTGCAAAAGCATATACGGGAAAGTAATCCTATTTGAAATGGGTACTTCTGTCACCTTAGTAAGTTAAACCACTGAACCACCTTTAAGAATACTGTTATATGTTCTACAGTAGTAAAAAGAAAGCTCTCGCATCACACTGGGGAAAATAATGTTCACTTCCTAATGTCACACACGTACCTGCCTCCGAATTCAAAGGAGCAGGCGCGCACTGCGGCAGTCACGGAGTTGCTGCTGACGTGTTACTTGTTTTCAAAGAGTATTTCAAAAGTCAATGAGAGTCTAAATCAAATTTAATGTGTTTGCACGTATTCTTTCTTTCTGTTGGTCACCCTGGGTAGGAAGCGGATCGAGCAATCTGTGCAGCCAGCACTGCCCATCAGGCCGATCAGACATGCAGGCGCATCATCTCTCAGGCAATGAAGGACGCAAAAGGTACATGTAGCATGTTCTAGGTGCTAGCTGGCAACATAGGACTAAACCGATGAGATTCCCTGGGGGTGAATTGTTACGGAATCCCAGCCCTGCAGGTGTGACTGAGGCAGTCGCCTCCAGAACTCTGGTCAAGGTTATTTGTAGAATGTGAGTCAAAGTCTGTAAATTTTGTCTTTAAGCATGAAGTTAAAAGTTGTTTTAATTTTCTTTTAGATAAAAATGTGCTCCCAAGTGAGATGAAGGGCCTGGCAGAAGAACTCAACAAACTCAAAGCACAATTTTTGGAAGACTTGCGGCAAGGAAAGGATTTGAAAAACCAAATTTGCATACAAAATGAATATTCTGACCCTGCTACAAGTGTAATTTCTTCATTCCAAGAGGAGGCAACCAATGTAGTTAATAAATATATTTTAAAATAATGACATAGAGAATGTTGGTGTTTTTTAAGAGTCCAAAGAGTTTAAACTGCAGTACTGTTTCAGCAGCACTGCTGACAACATCGGAGAGATACAGCTTCCTTCTCTGGCGGCTCATGCCATCTGTAGCTCCTCTCTCCATATTAAGGGACAGAAATGCTGCCTACTGCACTGTATTTGACTTTGAAGATCAAGCCAACAACAAACCATCCTTAGATTTTAAATTTCACAGAATCATAGGAAAAGTTACCCTGAGAGGAACACCTAGAATTCATCTAGTCCCGCTTCCAGCTTACAGCAGGACTAACTTTAAGCTGGATCAGCTTTCCCAGAGCCTCCTCCAGCTGAGGTTTTGAAGAGCACCTTGGCTGGTGACCTGCTCTGCTCTGTCAAGCGGGTAGCTGAGCATTTCCAGAGCATACGTGCCTGGGAAGGTATAAAAACAAGAAGCGAGATGGAGTTCAGCACTTCAAGCATGAAGTGGGTTGACAATGAACTACAGCATCCAAAGTCAGGGTGTCAGCACCTAAGCTTAATCCAAGTCCCGCTTCAGTTTCCCAAGTCCCTTTTTTAGATCAAGCTCGTGGCTTCTCTGCTTGTTTCCCTGACAGAAACCTTGCAAAGAACAAGAAATTTGAGATGCAGTTAAATTAAGGCTCTTGAGAGTTGCATGCACGTACGCACGTGTGTAGGATTAACTCCAATGTCCAAAGGAACTTAACATTTGGTACTGCCTTCAAAGTTGCTAATAACAACATACACAGAAGTTCCATAAGCAGTGACAACCACCTCGCCATGATAAAAACTCTGATTTCAGACATAGAAGCACTCTTGATAAGGGAATAGGAGTACGAGGAAACAAAGAATTTGGAAGATGACCAAATGTGCAAGATTAACAGTGGAAAGGAGTAAAAGAATGTCCTGCATTTTCAAATTAAGCAGACTGAAACATAAATGCACTGTTCCTTGCTTACCCAAAAGGTAAACTTACTTGCCTTACCACATCTAGACCATAGCTGGTCATAAGCAGTTAACCGGTTCCAGCTGTTGAAGCATATGCAATTAAGAAGAATTAACATGAGACTTAATTAGAAAGTGTTATTTTATTCATATCTTACAAAAGCAAAGCTTCACAACATGAACTACACTAGATATAGTAGAGTTATTTCAGAATTAACCTTGTCATCTGAAAACATTCACTACACAATAAAATTTATTTTACAACTCTAGCAGGTTTCATTTTTGCATACAAAATATGCTCTTTACACTGAAATACATATTATTAACAAAGCAGGTACTTAGAAGCACATACACAAACTCAATGAAATTTTTGCAGGAGATAGATTTCCTGCAGCAGAACATCCATTTGCTGTAATTTTCAAAGAAGCTTAAAATTAATAGAAAACTTGCCAGTGAAGACTTCTAAATTACATTCCCTTCGTCAAAAAAGAAACAAAAAACAAACAAGCAAACCCCCCAAACATTCTGGAACAAAACAAATAGCAACAGATCATTTTGCTAGGAAACACTGTTGGAACGTGTCTTCCAGCACTGAGTTTTATGTTAAAATGCCAATCAACATTTTATGTCAAAATCCTCTTCATCTAAACATTGTATCTGTGAAAAAACAACTATTTGTCCCTATTAGCTGCTTCACAGTTGGTTTAAGTATTAACCAAGATAATCTACCAAGATCTTCAGTCTAATATTTGCATGTCCATTGGAATATTCAGTCTCAAAATAGTAAGTTTGTATTAAGAGTACTATAAATAGTGCATGTTAAAAATGTCAACAAATCTGTGAAATAATCTATTACAATAAAAACAAAAATCCACAAAGTTAATGTTTTGCAACTACAGAACTTAACAGAGTCAAGCTATGGAAAAATTTCAGCTCATTCCCAAACTTCCCTGTTAATACAAGTTAAAATGCTAGTCACCACCTTATAATATAAGGATTTGGTTTTTTAAAAAAACCAAGTTAGTGCAGCGTAGCACATGGAGAACTCAGTATGAAAAGTCCTAACCGAGGACTCGATCCCACAATTCCTGATAAGTATCCCTCATCGACTCTGAGTAAGGCCTGCTTGTGCATGGGAATCATCAGGATCATACTCTAAAACAATTTTCCAGTACTAATTCTGGTCTTTAAATTATAGTAAATAGTACATACAAAATTATGAAAAGCTAATATGAAAATACACCTTCCAAACCTACTCAGTAGACAGAAGGAAATAGATATAGTCAGGGTACTGTTTGGCACAACTGAACACACAGTATTACGTTGAAAAATTAAGAATCCTCATCCAGAGGGTGACCCTGTGTGAAGGACCAGGGCGTCAGCAGGGACCCACCCCACAGATCTGGTTGCAGAATCACGGGATGAACACCAAAGCCTGCTGCTGCCCAAGGATCCCCCCTGCAAACAGGAGCTTGCACAAGGAAAGAAGGAAAAACAGTTTTATCACTGTTCAGCAGTTTCTAGATGTTCAAGGTAATTTTATTTTCCTTGGGTACTCTGAAGCAGAAACAATGGTATTAAGTCAGCAGTATTAAAATACTTCTAAACAACAATTTGCAAGGTTTGGGGTTAGAATTTTTTTTCATACTGAGTTCTATTATTAAGAACATACGTTCCCCCGCAACAGAGGATCCCCGCCTAAATGAGGGCCTCTTTTCAGTAAGACCATGCAGGCTTCCTCTTGCTACCAGCTACCTCTATTAGTGACCTAACTATTCCCCTACCTAAAATTTCGCCCAGGGGCATCATGGTTCAGAAGTCATTCTTCCAAATCGCCAAATCATGAGCCTACACAAAAAGAAAAGTCTATGATGTTTACAGGCACTGCCAATGAAAGTCCTAATGGATCAGAAACCACGTAAATGGAATGGAAGGATGAAATCTCAAACATCTGTGCACGTTGGAGTTAACCTCCCTACTGATACCAAGAGGGAGAAAGGCTGGAGCTACAAACCAAGGAGAACTTGGCTGCTGTGATCTGCATCATTCAGTATTGGAAGGTGCTCCTTGGAGCACCACTATTTCAGAAGTTTCCTTGGAGTTGCTAGAGCCTCGGAATAAAAGTTTGTATCACCTATCAAAAGGCAAGGAAAATGGCTTCTACAAATTACTAATTGTAATGGTCTTTAACAGTAACATTTGTAGTTCTAACATTGTATTTTAGCCAAATTTAGATTTTAGAATGTGTCAATAGGTGATCAAAAGAGAGCTATCGTTTCTACATTACTCTTTGACTGGAAGCGTCATATTACAAAACCTGTCCAGAAGCAGTAACTTCCAACTGGATTCCAGTTCAGTCAACTTTTAGTCCTTAAAATAAAGGACTCTGTATGTTTATGCATATGGAGTTGCAGTTCTACTTATAAAACAAATCTTAAAAGTATAAAGCAACAAAGATATTTTGGAATTATAAAGAGTGTCATTATGAAAAATGGAAATTACATTCTGTTTTACAAGTCCACTGAAATGGATTTTGAACCAGGCCTGAAACCAAAAACATTTTTAGGAGTGATAGTCTGTTATCATTTGTCTTCACTACATCGGAAATACTTCAATGGCGTATTACTACACGACTACGTGCAGCCAAGAATCCAGTTCCTTCAACTGGTTACTTAAGCATGGAAAATTCAACAGTAGGTAAGTTAGGTAGAGAGAAACATATTCGGCTCCCAAATGTCTAACTCATTAAAGCCAAAATTACTTCTAAAATTCTCAGAAGGGTGGTTTTTCCTGTGTTGATCTTACACTGAAATCATTGTAAGTTTTTCCATTGGCTTCAGAAAGCTTTAGCTCCCGTAACAATATAAATTTGAATAAGCCAAACATTTGCTATTCAGATTCCAACCTCTCACCTGCCAAACATTAATGTAATCTTCCTGCTTTTAACAAAACATTTGCTGCCATGTTTTGCTGATAGTAAAAGGGGAATATATAAGGGAAGCTTTGATTTGTCTCAAGTAAGACAAACTAAGGTAAAAGTGCATGTCTAAATATGTGAAAAGTAACAGTTCTTCACTTTTTTGAAACATTACAGATTCCTGTGTAGCATATTAAGAGCTTTTATTCGTTTTGCTAGGATGTTTTATTTAGGTTTATATTAAAGTGCCTGTCCGTTAGGCTAGGTGCTTCTAAAGTAAGATGTACAGTATAAAAAAAAAAAAACATGTGCAATGGACTTCATGTACATCTTCAGTCACCATTTGCCACCTACAATATTAATTACAATGACTTCAAACGTTGTCAGCCAGTATTCCTTTGCCTACCACATGAACAGTTCAGAAAACCCAGAAGCCCTTCCCCTTACTGCCAGCACACCAAAAGGACAACAGATTTGGGGGAGGGAACAAGACAAACTAACTTCCAAGTTAGCTGAAGTTTACAATAAAGCAGATTATACAACTTTCAAACACATGCAGGCAACCTACCAGTTGTAGCTTGGCCCGAGATAAAACTGAACAAATTATTTTTAATTTGTAAACCTCTTGTTTGTTTCTATTAGAACTTCTATCAGGAAGACAGAAGTCTAATTGTGCAAATTTTAAATATCTGTACAAATTAGTTTAAGGCAGTTAAAAATCTCACGGAATATATATTAGTTGTACAAGCTCTTTATTATGACTGTTTAAAAATTACCTCCTTTTAAAAAGAATGACATGTAAAATTTTGGTAAGTGAAGTTTAAAATAAGCTGTCACGTTTAATTTTTCCTTTGTATAACTAGTGAATGACAAGCTTTTAACTCTTTCATTTTTTCTACCAGTTTCATTCACAATAACCTGTTATCTTCTAGTTTTGTGACGAGTTTTAAAAATAATAGTTAAATTAGTGTTTGAGCCTGAGCGTGAAGAGTTTAGGCTATACTAAGCAAAAAGTTATTATTAACCTTCATCAGATTAAAGCAAGTTTTACATCAAATTGAATTTGTATGTGGAAGTTGCTTCCGTTTGTTTTTCCAGTTTGGATTAGGTAAGTTTTTAAGGATAA